ATTATTATACAATTTCGTCTAATGACGAGCGCAATTGTCTAGCAGGGTGGTAATTATGTAGAAGATCTGACAGGTATGGTGCGCCAGTGTTATTTATTGATAGCACAAAGTAGCACAAACTTGAAATTTTATATTCAAGCCCCTGAAGCAATTTTAAAAGTGGTGAAATGTGAGAAGATAAAAATAAAGACGAGCTGCTGAATTCTGAACTGGTTGAAGTTTCTTTACCAAATAATCAGGACATATGACTAATAAGCTATTGCAATTGTCAAGACGAGATAGCATGTACAGGTGAAAGTTTGTGTTGCTTTTGGTATAAGATGCATCTTAGTTGAATATAGCATATATAGAATATGTACTTGCTGTGACAAGTGTGACAGCAAGATTACAGACTGATGACAAGAAAGATATATCAGACTCGCCAATGGACATCGTTGAGGGTAGTGAAGATCTATATGCTACTTTTAATGAGCATACAAGCATAGCCTCGGTTTTTGAGTCATTAAGTTGTAATTTGTTCTGTGTCATCCAATTTTTGATATCGGTAATGCAATTCTTGATAGTTGAACCAATTTGATGAAAATTAGTGTGTGTATATAGTTGATTGGCAAAGTCATGATGATGATGATGATGTCACTGAATGTGCTTTAACAATATCAACAAGTGGTACAAGACAAACAAAACGGGAACCAGAACTAAGCCCTGTGGAACACCGAAGTGTAATGGTGATGCATCTGTGATCTTCCAGTCAGATATGACTTGAACCAGGAAAGGGCTAACGATGTCATGTCATACACCTTAGATAAGTATGGTATATGTGTATACAGTTAACTGTTGGTTATAAATATAGTCACACATATACAGGTGACCAAAACATCATGAATTGTAATAATTATGCAAATTTAATACCAGTGTTCAATTTAATTTGAATAATTCTGCAATATTAACCCATTATGATGAAATCTACCATGTAATTGACAATCCCATCTAATGGTTTGTCATGGTTTGTTTAGACGCTATTTTAAACTATATGTTTAGTATATTTTATCTATTTTATATTATTATATATATTTTTCATGTTACAAGAATGAAGAAAATGAAACAAAAAATAGTGTACTTAGTTCAGAGAAAATTAATAAATAAAATAAAGTAAAAATAGTATATTTTGTTATTTAGGACATATTTTACCATTGTTTCCATTTGCAAGAATATATCTCAATATCTCAAAATTTTGTTTGGTGACTTATTCATGTTTTGTGGATTTTTCCAAGGCTTTCGACTCGGTTTGGCGTGAAGTCTACTCTATAAATTATTTCAATTAGGCATAGGTGGAAAATTCTATGCTGCTATCAATTCAATTTATAAAAATCCACGGTACAATATTAAATTAAGCCGAGGAGTAACTCCATATTTTGACTCACACAGAGGAGTGAGATAGGGCTGTAATTTAAGCCCTTTATTATTTAATGTCTTTATGAATGACATTTGCCATACTGTAAATCATTTTGACCCAGTAGATTTGAATGGTTATAAATTTAATTGTATTTTATACGCTGATGATCTGCTGTTACTATCTACAAGCCATGAAGGGTATTGATGCTATTCAATTGTATTGTCAAAAGTGGAAACTTAAAGTCTATATTAAAAAGTCAAAAATTATGATATTCAATGGTAATGGCAAGAATCTTAATGACAAATTTAAGTTTTTTATAAATGGAACACAACTAGAATGTGTTGATTCTTACAATTACCTTGGCATTATTTTCCAATGCAAGTTATTTAAAATGCTCTGGGATTCTAATGAGTGTTACTCATTAAGTCTTGCAAGCAAACTGTTTGACTCTTTAGTTAAACCAATTATACTTTATGGTGTGGATGTTTGGGATGGGTTTTTGACAAATGCTTTTAAAGGATCAAGAACTAACAAGTCTGAGATTGATGATGACAATTTAATTTCAAAATTATTCTCAGACAAATTGGTAATTGAAAAAGTTCATGTTAAGTTCTGTAAAAGTACTTGGGGTTCATAAGAAAGAATCAAATAATGGGA